AGTCGTCGTCGTCGTAGTCGTAGTCGTAGTCGTAGTCGTAGCAGTAGCAGTAGCAGTAGCTGTAGCTGTAGCTGTAGCAGTAGCAGTAGTGGTAGTAGTAGTAGTAGTAGTAGTAGTAGTAGACGTAGAAGTAGAAGTAGAAGTAGAAGTAGAAGTAGAAGTAGAAGTAGAAGTAGAAGTAGTAGTAGCAGCAGGAGGAGGAGGAGGAGTAGGAGTAGGAGTAGGAGTAGGTAGGAGTAGGAGTGGGAGGACAAGTAGTAGTAGTAGTCGTCGTCGTCGTAGTAGTAGTAGTAGCAGTAGGAGGAGGAGGAGTAGGAGTAGGAGTAGGAGTGGGAGGACAAGTAGTAGTAGTAGTAGTAGTAGTAGTAGGAGTAGGAGTAGGAGTAGGAGTAGGAGGAGGAGGAGGAGCAGGAGCAGGAGCAGGAGCAGGAGCAGGAGCAGGAGCAGGAGCAGGAGCAGGAGCAGGAGCAGCAGCAGCAGCAGCAGCAGCAGCAGCAGCAGGTGCAGCAGCAGCAGCAGTAGTATTTAGTATTTAGTATTTAGTATTTAGTAATTTAGTAGTTAGCAGTTAGTAGTTAGTAGTCAGTCGCTAGTATTAGTAGTTAGTAGGTAGTAGTTACTAGTTACTAGTTAGTAGTTAGTAGTAGCGAGTATTGAGTAGTTAGTCGTTAGTAGTTAGTAGCTAGTAGCTAGCAGTTAGTAGATTGTAGTAGTAGTAGTGAGTAGTTAGTAGTTAGTGGTTAGTGGTTAGTGGTTAGTAGTTAGTAGTTAGTTGTTGGTGGTGAGTGGTTAGTAGTTAGTGGTTAGTAGTTTGTGGGTAGAAGATGAAATAGGAGTCGTAGCGGTAGCGGAACCGGTAGCGGTAGCTGTAGCGCAGCAGTCCGTGGAGATGTTGCGTGCCCTCTGGGCAATCTCCGAAGCTTCAAAAGCACAGCTTCAGAGCCACCACTTCCAAAGCTCCGGACACACTAAGCAACCCGAGTCGCCAGAACGAGCATCAAGGTCGACCACGAAGTACCCCAAAGATCTGCAAAGAGGAGTGTTACTGACCGAGCAACCCCCACGCGTCGGGGGCAGCTGGTTTGTTTGACGTTGAAATTGTCCAAGGCTTGCAGAAGAAAGCGCGAGCAGCACTGCCTACGCCATGGTGGTAGGCGACTTTAACGTCTGCAGCAATGAGTTCGGACAGCAGCTGGACGGCTCGGCAGAGTTCCGGGCCTTGCAGTTTGCCATGGAGTCTGCAGGTTTCCCTGCCGAGTTGCCGCAGTCCTTCGATGAGGAAGGACCAGAACCAGGAACGCTTCGGCCAGCTCCAGAGAGTGGACTTCGATGTACTCCGGATCACATGTTTGTCACCTACAAGCTGAACGACTGCTGTGTTAGTTCTTCGGTCGCGGACACGCGAGACCGGAATGGACTGGAAGTCTCCGACCATCTAGCTCTCATTGCCGAGTTCCTGATACCACTATGATCGTTAGCTCTGCGGCTGAGGAGGACGGCACCTGTTCCAGACGTGCCCAAAGCAAACTTCTGATGCTGCACAAGCTCAAGGGCCCTACTGTACAAGAGCCGCCGCGACCAAAGCTGTCCATGGGAGTGCCCTCAGAGAGGTATGATTGTGAAAATGGAACAGAAGGTAGTCAACTTGCATCGGCGCATGTGGCGTGCAGAGCAAGCTGTCACGTGTCATGTGCATATGGGGTTCCGGGATGCTTTGATTGTGTCAAGTGAACGGGGAGGTGTTTTTGTAGCCGAGATTTTTCAGAACATAGATGGAGCTTGTGTCTTCTGTTTTCTTCGCATCTCACTCGCTTCACTTTTCATGCTTAGCTGCACGCGTACACATCCTCCCCTGACCGAGGAGCCAGCCTGTGTCGTAAAACCTCTCAGATGGCAGACCCAAAAGCAAGAAGTCATCCTGAGTCCAAGCAAGCCTAAGCCCTACGAATGTAGAAAACGATTGCTGCCATTGCCTTGCTCCCCACCGGGCATGTCGATTCCTGATCCTGGAAGCACCTATGCGCTGAGGCGACAGTGCTCGTAGCTCGAGGCGGAATTGGAATCTTCACTGAGATTGAAGCCAACCTTCAGCGTCTTGACTGGGACTCTCCCGATTGGCGCCGGGCTCAGGATTTCAGTCAGAATTGATAGTTCTATAATACTATAGGCACACAAAGCTCTAGTTAAGAATCTAGCAGAACTTCTCGTGGCTCATACGTGTTGGCAGATCGTCGGACAGTGTTGGGGTTTCTTGAGACTCAACCATGTTTGTGCTCAAAGCTCGATCTCTTGTTCCTACCTGTCTTAGGTTTCGCTTGCCAAGTTCCACGAGGCCGACACAAGGCCAGCACGACTACTGGCTCACCTCTCAGCGCCAGCTCATCGTCTGAAGTTGAGCAGAGGCATTTTGATTCAGCTTCTGGCATGTTTTGAGGAGAATTTCGTCTCTTCAGCCGAGACGCGAGACAAATGTAGATGCCTCAGACAGTTGAGCACGGCTGGTCTCGTGCCGGCGCCTAAACTGGGTGTTGGTCGCTGTCGACTACATGGCTCCGTGTGGAAGGAAAAAAGAAAGCCCTCTTGGCTACAGTGGGGCAACAGAGCATGCAACCGTCTGAAACGGAGCCTGTGTGTGTGTGTGTGAATTCTGAACCTTACTGCGCATTCAAGAAGCAAAAGCCATTGGATCCGAATCAGGAGCATCATCAGCGTGGTACCACACAGTGAGTTTATTGTCAAGCCCAGTAGATTATCGATGGTTGAATGGAGGATGGGATACATTGCCAAGCGGTGGTTTTGGATTAACAGCTGGACATAGCCATGCGCGCTGGCTAAAGATCTGCTCAGGGACTTCCCCCACCGGGACATGCAGAGCGGCCCCTAAAATGTCTGGAGAGGTTCCTGAATGAAGTAGGGATCCAAGCCTAATCCCTCTTCTAAATCGGAACGTGCGATGTCGCCAGTCGTCAACTGTTCTCTCTCTCTCTCTCTCTCTCTCCCCCTCCCTTTGCCAAGTTGTCCTTGCTCGTGCTCAGTCCGTGCGTTTCAACGCTCGAACCATTCGCACCCACGGTTGGGTTCTCATCGCTCTACAACAATACCGTCAGTGGGTGCTTCAGCCCTTGCTGCCTGAGAAGTCGGACAAAGTGCTCGTGTCTCCTGCTCGAAAAATCCTTTCCAGGTTCTGTCATATCACCAAGATCGATTTAAGTTTGGGTAGTGGATATGAGCAAGTTAGTGGTCGTCGGCAACAGGAAGGGGCCATACGGCTGCAGTCTCTTCATGTTCCTGAAATGGTGGGCTGTGAAGGTGGGTGGGCTTTAAGCCAACTCGGAGACCAGGAGATGATAGTTTCTTCGCATGCCAGCCCACATTACATCTCTTGGGACTTGAGAATGTAGGGGCGAGTCTGGGGTCACGGAGAGGTGGAGACCTCGGGTCGTTTTCCACGACTTTCACGGCTGAGGTCTTTGCGGTGATGTGGGAAAATGCTCGGCCTGGAGTGGCACGCGCCGGACAGCTTTGAGCACTGAGTATCTAGTTAATCTAGTTGGAACACAGCTTCCTGTTAGGTACTGAACACCCACGGGTCGGGTTCTCGAAGCACGCTGCTGTTGGCTGTCTTCTGTAGCAACTGTAGTATTGAAGCAGGGGTTGAGATACTGAGCGAAGATTCGTTGTTCAGGATTTGCGCTTTGTAGCTTGGGGGGTTTCTTGAGTTGGGGTTATCTTCGGATAGTGTTGCTGCATACTTAGCGGGTTTGGCCTCTGAAGGCCCGCGGTAGGTGCACGTCTGGTTTGTAGCCTGGGATCAAGAGCCGCCAGACATACTTGCGAGCCTGCACTGGGTGATGCGGTTTTGGTGCTACACTTCGAACCCCGCTTCCTCCTGTGCGTCGTGCTAAAGACAAAGCCGACAAGAACGCTCGTTGCCGCATCTGCACTCGCTCGTTGCCCTTCTCCCGGCAGTCCCGCCCCGCCAGCCAGGCAACCTCCATCTGCTTCCGACCCACCACTGCGCACCCCGACCCACCTCTCTACAGCTGTTTGGGCACGCGCTGATTCCAGTCGTGCAGATTTCGCAAAGTGTATGACATTTCAAGTTTCAGGACCTCAGAAAGCATGCATGCGTTGCACTGCATAGGTCGCGTATCATGGCTTACTTCTGCTGGTCTGTTCGACTGCATGTCATCTGCAGCTGGTCGTAAAGACAAGCGTGTCTTCCCTGCAGTGGTACGTCGAGCTATTGCCGAAACCTCCTGCTGGTTGACGAGTCAATGATCAACCAACCATGCCGGATGCTCAGGAGGCGCATATCAAACACATCCCCTCTGCTGCCGGTTCAGTGATGCCCTTGCATTGCTTGAGCGCTTCCGCAGCTGCCAAGGTAGTACGTGGACGACTGACCCTGTGCTCCCGGAGTGCTCTCTACAGGTCCCTCCACCAATTCGCATGATGGTGCGAAACGGGCCAGAAACCCATGGTCAGGTGAAACTGTCGATCGGTCCCGGTCGTTTGCGATCGCTGCACGCTCCTCAGCGCCGGGTCAATCGGGTTTTTCAGTCATGTCAACGGATGTGCGTGTGACCTTCTGACTGTCTTCTCGCTCGCTCGCTCGGTCCCCTCTCTCTCTGGTCGTCTGGGCCTGGGCTAGAGGCCCTACCTTTGCATGGGCGCTGTGGTGTCCTGTGCTTATTCGGCGATGCAGTGCAGTCATGTGTAGGATGAGCACCATTCATGTCAGAATTCCATCAGCTGTGCGGACCTGCCGGATGATCGTTGCGACTTGCAGCCTTGCTGGGCTTTGGGGCACGTGTACATGCCGGCCTTTTTCTCCGCGCTGCTTCTGCTGCCGAGTTCCCGCACTTTGAGCTTAACATGTCTTGATCCATGGCCATCGGGGTTGACACTTCTTGCGCCAGAGGGGGATAAATAGCTTGCTTCTGAGAGCCTTAACTGCCTGCATCAGGCCTGTGAGCACAGTTCGCCCAGCTTCAAAGTTGACAAAGCCACAATCGTCTCGCAGCCATTCTTGTTAACCGACACTGCAACCGATAGTGCAAAGCTGCCGAAGTACGAATGAGGCGTGCGCACCGAGTGGAGACGATGCGAAAGTCTCCAAAGTACTTGAACCTGTGGTACAGGACCAGATTGCATGCAGAAGCTTTTGTGCTCTTTCCGCATGCAGTGCTGACACTCGTCCTGAGAAGAGAGGAAATACAGTTCCATTGCCGTTTTCGACGATCACGCTGAGCAGCAGGCATATTCACTTAGACTTGGTGGCCGGTGCCGTCGGTGTTTCTGGGTGTTGGGAGAGAACGCTCGGTCCTGCCCTTATCAGGCCGTTCCAGCCGCAGCTCTCTGCACATTGCGGGCAGTGGATCAGGACACTTTAGCACTTTAGCAGATCATCTCGCTTGTTATGGGACTTCCATCACAACATCGTGTGCCACGAGGCGCATGTGCCTACTGTCAGTGACAGTGATCGTCTAGTCGTCTGGAAGCTGAGCCGGTGGATTCGGTCGGGAGACTCAGCTGCCTGCTGGATGTGGACTTCATCTCGTGGCGCGCATATTTTAAGGGGACATCTACAACGTGAAACCATATCAGCCTATCTGCCGGAAACTCAGAGAAAGGAGCGGGGGAGCCTTGCTGCGCAACTCAGTTGAATGGCACAGTGCATCGAACGCAGCTGTGAACTTCGCCAGGGCACAGCTCGCGAACGCTCCAGATTATGGCAAGCCCCGACAAGCGATATAAGGCTATATACGGTGTATATGTCAATGTATATATATACACACACACATGTGCACGCACATGTATGTGCATATGTGTATGTGTATGTATATGTATATTTAAGTATGTATGTGTGTCTGTCTGTCTGTCTGTCTGTCTGTCTGTCTGTCTGTCAGTCTGCCTGCCTGCCTGCCTGCCTGCCTGCCTTTTTGTCTGTCTGTCTGTCGGTCTGTCGGTCTGTATGGTCTGTCTGTCTGTCTGTCTGCATGGTCTGTATGTATGTATGTATGTATGCATGGATGCAAAAGTCCTTTATTTCTGCATGTGCTGTATATGCAGATACATATATGCGCATACATAACATATATATATACACTCGTATATGTATATGTGTATATACATATATATGTATATGTACATGTATGCGTATATGTAT